GGACTGTCAGAGTTTTAGTTACCAGGGAAAGAGAAATCAACAGTGACTCCAAGGTTAATATTTTAAATCTGTGGAAAAGCATTAAATGAGGAAGCAGGTTTGGGGAGTCAAATGAGTTTATTTGGGAAAAACTAGTTTCACGTACTGTCTTTACCCCTGACATTCATTTCTCACTTAATATAAACAAAACTAAAGCTAAAATTCACTATCATCAATATTCTTCAACTTATGTAGCGCAGAAATCTTGCTAACTGTAATCAGAAGTCTTTCTGTCTGTAGTCTTACTTATTCTCATTTCCACGTTCATTGTATTTCCAAACCTTTGTAACCTTTCCCCCACTGCCTTCCTTCTCCTTGGAGACTGCTGTAGTCCAGCTTTTCACTATGTCTAATTTGTAGTTGAGGACTGAGGATGTAGCTCAGCAGCACATCACCTGTCTGGCAAGCATGAGGTCATGAGTTCAATTCCTGGTACTTCTCAAAATGAAAATAAAATAGAATAGAATAAAACAAAATGGGTTAGTGTAGCCTGCAAGGTAGTCTTCCAATTTAGTCTTTCACTTTATGAAACCTATTGTCCACCTCAAAATTAGATTTTTTGCCTTAAATATTGATAAGATGATATTATTTACTTTTTACATTTGGGGTCTTAGTTTAAATCTCTGTAAGCACGCTTTCACATCATCCTATCCAAGAAGACATCACATCTATGCTTTTTTTATTAACCTATTGTTTAATGCCAACACACTTTAAAAACGGTAATTTTTGTACATATTTATTAATGAATGTATTTATCTTTCACTTTTTCCCCATAGCAGAAACTTCTTGAAAGGAAATAATAGTTTTATTATTGTGTCCTGTAAATCTCAAAGCAAAACTGACATGCAGAAGTCTTTAATTAGCCTTTGAGTCTCAGTGAATAATCCTGAGTGATTTGCCTTTAAATGCCATGCAATTTGTTCAGTAATTTCCTCATTATTATTAATTATATACCTACAGGTTTACATAGTCTAAGGCTATATTTAAAATATTTGGAACATTAGCTGCAACTGTTATGGAACCACTGGACTATAAATCACTGTGTGTCTAATATGTCTTTTGCAATTAACAACAGTAAAGCAACAAAATGGCAATAATGTAACTATCTGATAGTTTTAGATTTTTCCAAGTAATCATATTAATTAATATGATTGTAGATGCTTACTGTTTTGCAGAGCTGAGATGTTCTTAAAAGTATTTTAAATAAGTATAAACATTGCAATACAGATGTAATGACTATGATAAATTTAAAACAATAAAAATTAAAGGAATAAATGAACCATTTTTATCAGTAGCCAATATTCTAAATTTAGAGTTTAGAGTATTTGTTAAAATTAACATATGCAAATACTCAGGTGTTTTTCAGTGTATGTCTAGGTACTATAGACATCTAGAGACTATAGATTTAATGTGGGGCTTATATCTAATATTTAAATTAAAAAATGAAATCTATTATTGATAATCCAGTTGGATATTTTGTTAATATCTATCCAATAAACTTTTTGAAGAAAAGATATGATTATTAGTGAGTAAAATTATAAAAAGTCTCACTTTGAATATTATCTTTTGCATGAAAGAGAGTATATCAAGCATTATATTCATGACTAAAAGTCAAATATGGTGGAACGGCCTGATCCTTTATTTTGCTTAGGATTATTAAACTCATTTGTTGTAAGTATATAATCTCTTATTTCATAGTTACATAAAATTTTTTCAAATACTTTATGCTGCTTGCCATCATGTATGTTGTATAGGGTTCATGCTAGAAATAATGAATTGCCAGAAAGTATATACAATTGTTACATAATGCAGTTATATTCTGTCTCAATACTAAAACATAATTTAAAAAATCTCATTAAGCTTTACATGTATAGATCATGTCATCTTTTAATTTTAAAGTTTTTTAATTTTCTTAGAGAAAAAGTCCATTGTTTTTGTGTAGCACAGGTGTTTAACACCTATAAGCATTTCCAATTATAAGTAACTTAATATGTATTTGAAAATTAGATTTGCAATCATAATCAATGTTCCAACTATTTTCACAAATTACAGTAGAGTATTCGCTTCACTGTTTTAAAAAGTCATATTTAAAATCACTATCATTTGTAATAGATTTTAGTTAACATTTAGTTTTATGAGTCTTCTGATTTCTAACACAACATGTTGCCTGCCATTGATAGGGTTGGAAATAGTTCAATGTTTTCCATATCTGCGAACATGATTTCTAGAATCCTGCTATGATATGGGCAAATTTTTTCATTTATTTCATTGATAATGAGGATGAGGTAAGATATCCGTAATTTGATTTGTGATTTTTTTTCTCCTTTCCATATTGATTCTGAGCTAGAAATCAATATGCTAAAAACAGCCTAGGGAAAATTATTTGTTATTTTTCCCTCCAAGGGATGTGGAAGTCTTAGCTGGTATAATTCAAGATCTGTGACAAAATTTAAAAGATGAAACAGATTACATACTTATTAAACTAACAGATGGTCAACTGGTGAATAAAAAGAGCAAATACTTTACATGATTCTGTAGTTAATAAGCGTAGAAAATCAATACCTTATATACAAGAAAGATTTCCAGGAAATAACAAGATAGACATTTACTGTATTTATACTATTACACATCTTTTGAAAGTCATGTTTCTTATTTTTTGTTTTTGTTTTTAGTGCTGGAAACATATAGAATTTAGCTAATCTAATGTGGTATTTGTTTTTTCACACGAGTAATTTTATCTCAGAGATGCAGCATATTTGTTAAGCAAATTGCTCTAGAACTCACATTGTTCATTGAATTAAGTAAAAATAAATATATTTAATCTTTACATGTTGAAGCACTAGGATTACAAAAAGACTCTGAAAGTAATGGTGAACAGTTGTCTTGATCAACGTTCTCACTCTTATTTTTTTAATAATGCAAGAAAGAATTTAATTAAAAGTATAAAACTCATGCCTTAGGTCTTTTTAATCATGACATTTAGTCATTTGAGATGAGCTTCTCAGTAGAAAATGTATTCCTACAGTTACAAACCTTTCCTTCTAGCAAATTCTATTAATGATGATAGGTCTAGGAATAGAGGACAGCAAAACTAATAAAGTCTACGATACATAATACATACCTTTGCTATTATTTATAGAACAAAGGAATTGTATATCTTTTTTGAAAAAGGCTAATCAAAACTTTTATAGATATTCATGAAAGATTTTATAACACATTAAACACATCATAACATTAAAGACAATAATTTAGAAATGTATAAATGAAAACATATGACTCACACATAAAATACATGAATATTATATATGTGTAGGTAACAATAAGATTTATTAAATATGAAATTACCTTGTTATTCTAAATAAATCCTATTCATCGAAGCTGGTTATAAAACAGTCTCCCAAAGTACCAAACTAAATGAAATCAAACAATTTTCACTAAACAATTATCAAATTCAGATATAAATTTTAAATATTTAATGTGACCATACACAGTAGAATAGAACATTTTTAATTGTTTTCAATGTAATAACATCATGAAAATAATCATTGTATTGTTAATACAAAACTATGTACTACATTTGGCCATAAATATTAAAAAATGACATATATTACATGTAATTAATACATATGTATGAAGTCACTATATATATGCATATGTTTTTCAAAAAGTCCTTATCAATACCAAATGAAATAATACAGAGAATTTAAGAGAATAATAAAGAGCACAAACAAAATGCAAACCCAAATAATATATCACTATGGTCTCTACCCTTTATTTCATCATTGACACAGAAAAAAATGTCTGCAAAGTAGATTTTGGTATTAAGAAAAAGTTAAGATATCTAGAAAATTAGCCAGCCTTTAAGTTTGCTCGGAAGATTATTTATAAAATAGGAGGAAATAGTGATGTGTTACAATTGTTGGTCTGTTCTAAAATTGTTCTGAATAGAAATAAAACCATTGCATGTTGGAGAATTTGAAGAAGTAGCTTAGATAAATATGAACTTTTACTGTTAATTTAAAGCTCAATTTGAAATGAACTATAGCTTCTCTCAGAGTTTATTTCTATCTACACTGAAAATATTAAAATAGCCTCCAGAATGCAGTAAGTGATATGCATGCAATCCAAATCTTTTGCATCAGTGCAAAATGTGTTGAAGATCTCTAGATGGAAACATGATACTTTTAAAATATAAAACTTCAAATTACATACTGTGGTGATAGTACTTGACTTTTCGATTATTCCAGGATAGCCCAATTTCCTTAAACATAAGTATTTATTTGTCATTTTTCTCCCAGGTTACTTCAAAATATCAAATACCCAATAACTCAACATGCCCGCAAAACAAAAAGGCTTTAGTATATATGCACAAATCTAGACAGGTTCTATAGTTTATTTTTCTCAAAAATAACCATAGTAATCAACATGTCCATCATATACCAGCAGTAGTATTGCTCTGTTTCAGATGTTTCCTAAAGTGTAGTTATAAGGAGTTAGAAAAACAGTTACATTCTAATTGATTACTTGTCCTAGAAGTGTATTTCTGATATTGTTGAAATTGAAACAATTTTCTCTGCCTTATATTGCTTTTTAAAACAAAAAAGAGTGATTTTTGCCTTCCCATTTTATGATATAAAAGGTTATGTTTATAATATATTGTGAAGCACAATGAAATATAAAATTCTAGGGAAATGTTAGTTATCATGTGACCATTCTTTTATGCATAAAAGTAATGCAAATATAAAAAAAACCAAAATTCATGTAGTTAAAGTAAATTGCCAACCTTTAGAATAATAAATTAGAAGAGATAAGTTTTATTTCTATATGGAGAGATATTGAGAGAAGTAAATACCATAATTGCTATTATAAGACATTGTGCCTTTTACAAAAAAATAAAAAATAAAAAATAGACAAAGAATGTGTGAGGTACAGCCTTTAAATATTCAGTATAATTTACTTACAATCAAGCCACTGTTCGCTTCCCTTTTTTCTCTACCATGGATCATTTTGTAGAAAATTCCGCCTGGATTAAACTGAGTACTCCAAATAATCATATCTCTTTGAAAATATACATCCATCCCTGTTATCCTTGAATTATGTTCAATATGAGAAATCTGTTGATGATTGCCACTGTAGTTGAATGGATATATAAAACCCAGGATATCAGTGTCATTAGCAATGTAGAGAACTTGATCTTCAGAGCCTGGAGATTATTACAATAAGATACAAAAATAAAGTAAATTTCAGCTAAAATAAAAGCCACGATTTAAATTACCTTGAGTTGTTATTATTAATACAGTTCCTCTCACAATACAATTCAACACACTTACTTTTTAGTCTTCTTGATTCTTTATACTCAGCTTTTAACATTTTTAGTAATTATTTATGTGTGTGCTTCTGATGCAAAACTTTCTTTATAGCTAGAATTAGACACTTTTTTTAAAATACACTTTTTTATAACAAGAAGTTACCATTTGACAAGTCACAATAAACTATGATGCATCATTTTAGTTATCAGGAGTCAAATGCTGCACTATGTATTCATTAAGCCTCAAAAGTTCTGATCATTTGAGTGAACATTATTTTGGCTAAAATTTTAAAAAGATAATAAAGACTTTTGTTATTCCAATTTATTTTACTATAATTTTAACTTGATTATTTGAGATTGTCTTAATCTGTAAATGCTCTAGAATCCTGCTAAGTATAACACTCTACTACAATATAATGCTAATATTATTTGAATACTAAAGCATAAAACACTAAAATACAATTTAAAAAATACTTAAGACATTAATGTAAGCCCCAAGAAAAACTGAATTGCAAGTGTAATTTCTGTAAATAAATAAATAAATAAATACCAAATTTATTAAGATAAAGTTCAAATTTACAGTTTTAATGTATCTTGTTTAGTACATATTCATGAAGTGTCAGGTACCATGCTAAGCTCTCCCTAATTTTCCATACTTCATAGAAGAAATATAAAAGTATGTATTAGTGTAGAGATCAAAACTGAGGTTCTAAGACTTTAATGACTTTCTCTTGTCCATGGAGTCTGAGACAAATCAAAGCTAAGGTCAAATTTAATGTATCTACCACTACTGCTCACAGTTGCTCCATGTATCACACCACTTTCCTAATACAAGAGCAATCCTGTTAGCAATACCTACCCAAACTCTGAAACTAACTGCTTCAAGTTACAATATATATATATATATATATATATATATATATATATATATATAATGTTCATATACTATATATTTATATATAAACATTATGTATGTTATATTTATGCAATAGTATAATCATTGATATTAATAATATGTATTTTATATAGTTGATGTTTATATTTAAAACATTAAAATCTATATGCACAAAAAGGGTAACATTCATGTTATTTATTTAATTTTAAAATACACTGACAAATGAAAGAATTAAGAATTTCCAAGTAAAATTTGTTTTAAAATTTTAAAATTCTTATGTAAATTCCATTCTTACAGTCCTAACATTTCGCTTTTAATTTTTATTCCAACAGTGTAATAATTTTTCATAAACTTTGAAAGTAGGCCATAAAGATGCTTTCCATTTTCACTAGAATAATAACACTTAAACTTTTACCCTTTCTGACAGAATGTCTGCAACATAAAGTGTTTTTAACACTAGCTGCATATTTTGCAGCCATGTTTATAAAGCATGCAAAGTTAGATTATTTAAGAATGATAATATATCAAATTTCAAATGAAAATAAGGAATTAGTTTCATGATTCTGCACCACACTGGGAGTGAGTACTGGTTATCATGTTTTATTATGTGCTTTATAAAGAAATAAGGGGTGTGAGTTGTGAGGATACCAACTTAGAGAAATAGTGTTTAAGAATATTGAACTATATTATGCATTATATCTATGTATATATGTAATTGTGTGTTAACTTTTTTTAGAGAAAGAATACTAATCCAATTGCCAAATTAAATAATAAGAAATTTACACTTATTTTTTGTTATTAAGTGTGAAGTCATCATTGAAAGGCATTAGGGAACATCAGTTCTCTAAAAGATGTTTACAATAAAACTGTAATAACATTTCTAATAATGATTATAACTTACCTTTTGCTATGCAGGTATTATTTTGCACTTGGAAATTCTGGTCACATACACATTTATATGATCCTTCTATATTTATGCATTGCTGGGAACACATACCAAACACCAAGCACTCATTGAGGTCTAAATAAGAAAATTGCAAAGAGTATTATAATACCAATTTACACTTGCATTCTTTCATGCTTCAAAAAAGCTCAGGGTAGTTTTTGTTCTACAACTTTTTAATCTCTGTTTTTTACTGTCTCTTCAAATATTAAGACTGAAACTTCCTACATAAATTTTTAGGCCATGATTATGATTTTCACAGTAGTTTCATTAGAACTTGTTATATTATTTTTGGTTATTGGTTGACTTAAAATCATAATAGACCCATTTTCAGGCATTTCTTGTAAGCTGCTTCTCAGTACCTATCTCTGTACCTATTATCTTTCTCCACACCTACCACATATCATCTGCTAGACCTCTATCTTGGCCTGTCTTTATCCACTTCTACAAACAAAATTTCTACTCCTTTTTCAGGAGCAACCAGAAGTGAAGCTTTCCTTGGTTTTCAACTATGCACGATCCATTATTTAGCTTCTTTTACTCTTCTGAAGACTCTTTTAGCATTGCCCATACTGTATTTCAGAAAGGTGCTCATGTATTCATACCCCCTACTTTATTACCAGAATCTTGAATACAAATTTAGGATACATTAATTTTTATTGCCATATTTTGTACAATGAGTGGCACAGAAAAAGGCTGGGATATGGCTGTAACACACTTCTGTGTTCATATATATGTAGTAGCTTTGAAAGGAGAATTGAAATAAAGGTTTATGAATTACACAAAAGTTAAAAATAACCTAAATGTCTATATAAAACAATATCTAAATCACAGCATTAAATTAATAAAGTGAAGACAGTGTTCTGTAGCTTGGCATAGGTCTCTATATTTAAGAACTTAATTAGAGCCAAGATTAATATCACATGATCAACAGGAATTATCTATTTTCTGATTTCCTAATCTATTTTTATGTCCATCCAGCACAATTCTTCTCCCTCTTCTGTGATTTATAGTTGCCTGATTTATGTAGCAAATCTTGAGGTAAACTTTTTCCTGAAATTTGAGAATTTTAAGATCATCACATTAATAAGAACTAACTTCTGTTTATTTTTCAAGTGTTCTAAGGCCACAGTTCTCAAGCTTTTTGGTATTGGGAAAGGGTTTCCTGGAAGACAATTTTTCTTCTGATAGAGCTAGAACAGCAGGGGAGACAGGTGGAGCTGAGATTGGATAGATGTTCACAAGGATCATGAAATTTAGATCCCCTTCTTGCATAATTTGGAGCAGGGTTTGAGACCTAGGAGAATCCGGTGCTCCTGCTGATATGCATGGGTGTGAGCTTAGGTGACAATGTGAGCAAGGTGGAGCACTTGTAAATACAGGGGACACTTATACCCTGCCTGCCACTCACTTTCTGCTAGTTTTCCAGTTCCTACCTGGCCTGAACCTGTACCAGTCAGTAGGGTACGAGCTGGAGACCTCTATCTGAGGGATCTGTGACAGACATAAAGGACTTTCACAGTGATGACTTAAATGACACACTGAAACTTTCTGATTCTGCTTTGTAGAGAATTTAACCATTTGAAAGCACATTTCTCTGATTAAGAAACGATAAACAAGTAAAACAAAGTGCATTTATTTTAATGAAGACTGTTCAGGAATTAAGTAAAATATTTCTTATCATGACAACTGTCATATTGCACTAATTATTTTTATTCATATTTTCATTAGTAACCATAAACAGGAAGATAAGTGTTACCAAGCTTTTCCTTTGACATAGAATCACATTCTTAAAAATCTTCATGATTTAATAAAAACTCTACTAGCTGGAATTACTCCTTAATGGAGAAAGCCATTTTTCCTCAACAGTATAATGATCCCTGAACCATGGATATACTAATCCCACACGTGTCCAGTGTCTAGGACCTAGCCTTTTGCAACTGTGAATCCTACCCTACTTCTGCCATTTCCTTTGATTTTGTTTCCCTTATTTCATTTTTTTACCAAATTCCAATATCTTTTTTGAGTTAGTAAAGTATAATGACATTTAAATCTTTATATTAAAAAATTTAGGTATAGAAATGACTTTATTATGAAAACTTCATTACAGATACAAATTTAATTAGAATACAGAAGTTACTCATTTGTGAAACAAAATTATATAAAAAGATTATATTCCTAGCATTTAAAATAAAAAAAAATCTTCCAAGTACATTTGCCATAGAACATAATTAAAGGTAAAGAAAAATACTGAGAACAGAATTTCTAAATTTAGCAAATACATATGGTACAGAAAACAGGGCTTGCTATTCACAAGCAAGTCTTAGAAACTCAGTGTTACTGCAATAAAATATTGAAGGAAAGAAGACAGACAGAAGGACAGACACTGTGTGTGTGTATGTATGTTTAGATGTAATAGGGCTTGGGAAAGAGAAATAATTTATTTTCAGTAAAATAGTTAATGTCAGATTTTAGTATTTCATTGTAATGGTGAAAAAAACACCTTGAAAAACTAAAAAGTAATTCAAAGTGGTATGAATAACCTAAATAGGAATGTAATCCAAAAAATGGCTATACCTCTTTATATTGTGATGTACAATTAATTTCAACAATTTTTCTATTTTTTGATACATTCAAACTTGTTTTAACCCATGAATATCATGGAAAGACATTATAAAATAAGCCAGAAGATAAAAGAATTTTAGGATTTGAATTTGTCATGCATTAGCAAGAAACATGTTAAACTGAGCTTACTGCAATAGAAAAATATTAAGATGAATACCAATGTTATCTAAGAAAATTTAGAAAATGGTCATAGTTTGTATTTTACAACTGTGTAGTTAAATCTCTGATGTGAATTACATATTAACTTACATTTTTCCTTATAAGACTTTGTCCTACATACTAAATTTTTAAATGATCATAGGTAAGTTGACAGATTCTTTGATAATCTGACTTTAATTTTTAAAGACATCTTATGATAATATAAAGCAATGTTTAAAACATGACTGTAAAATTATACCATTAGAAAGAAGCCCACAGTTTTCTAAATGTGAATCACCTATCACAGTATTTCAAATGACACATTCAAGAAAAATGGGTCATCATAAACATATTATTTCATAAAGTGAGTCTAATTCTCCAATAGTTCCTGAACCAGCAATTTCATTATTTGCATTTCAAAACATAAATGGAAAAATACATCGAATTTCCTGCTGGTCTCATTATGCTTGTAGAAAAGGCTTTGTGACTTCACTGATGGTTAGCTTATTTGTACAAACAAACAACACTTGATCCAAGAGAATTCTCCTTTCAAAAGTGAAATTGTATAACACAGTTACACATTATTTTGAAGAATATCGATACCCTGTCATCTCACAATTTAGTAACCATTCCGAGTCTTTTAAAACTCCAAAGATTTAAAAGCAAACTGTTGAGGAAAGGTACTCTACCTTCACACTGTCTGTTTTTCATGTTTCTCTGAAACCCAGGTTTACAGCGACAGAAAACAGATGTTTTTATTTGATTACAATATGCATCATCTCCACACGGATTCACATTATCTTCACAGGTGTATTCAGTGGGAGCTAGGATTTAAAAACATGATCACAACTAATATAACTCTGATTCCTGAAGTGGAATATTTATTGTTATATTATAATTCCTATAAATGTATGAGATTATGGTCTTCTTTTCCTTAAGCCTTCATTTCTCATGAAGGTATAGAAGCAGATAAAAGCTGTAGTCAGAGACATTAAATATAGATTAGAGCAAACTGCTAGCCTCTAATATTTATATCACTTACTAAAAGGAGGTAATCAGTGACTCCAATGACAGACCATTTTTTTAAACTGTTAAAATCAGAACATTTTTTAAAAATTTCACACAGGGAGTTTACAAAGATTTTTTAAAAGAACATAAAACAGAATAAACTCAATCAAAACAAACCAGTGGAAAAGATACAGGATTTCAGAACGTTCTAAAAATCAACAATAGTTACTATAATGCCTTTTGATGTCTTCAAAATAGCGGCAGATAACTTTGAACATAGTAAAACTCAAACAGAACAGAATAGAATAGGAACAATAAAAACAGAACAATGAATGCAATAAAAGACCTCAAAACAAATCTATACCAAATCCAAAACTGCTTCCACAATGTCTTGCTATCTTTGAAATAGCTGCTCCTGCTATCAGATTTGACATAATCAAACAAAACAAAAGAGAGTAATAGCCAACCCAACAAAACAATGGAAATGATATAGGGCTTTCAAAACAAGACCATGGGGAATCAAAAAGGGCTGCAACCCTCAGAAGGAGATTCCTCTTTGATGCCACACTGTGTACCTCTATTTTCTGAGCCTATGATCCTACCACTGGCCTTAGACCTGCAATGTTAATGAAACACCTAAGCACCACAGGCGTCCAATTGCATTTCACCTCCATAGCTATCCTCACAGCCTGTGTTTCTCCAGATAAGCCAGTCGCTGACAGCGATATTCATTGCAAAATCAATCTTTTCCATCTCATACCTTCTGAAATGTTGAATTGACAAAAGGTGTTACATACACACATTTTAAGAACAAACTCTGCTCATAGTATTAAAAGAAAACGGTGAGCCATGGTTCAGCATAAACTAGCCCTGAGTGTTACTATACATTCTTTAGTAGAAAACACTCACTTGTTCTGCAGCTTTGCTCATCTGAACCATCTCCACAGTCATCGAGACGATCGCATTGGAGATCCATGGGAATACATTTTTTATTACTGCAAGTAAACTCATCCTTCTTACAAGGCTTTGCTTTATATGTAACCTTACCTATAAAGTCATTTAAAAGAATGGTTAGATTTCTACAGATGCACATTTGATCTGCTGATTAATAATTTGCTTAAAATTGCACTGAATGCCTTTGCACCCATACATTGTGCCTCAGTAATTTACCTGCCAAGTTGGCAGCTGCCATGTTTTGGACGTATATAACATGTGCATCTTAAATGCAGTGTAGAATGGCAAGGCAGTGAGACAAGACAGCAATTGGATTTGACAAGAACTGGTTTGGGGCTGGAGCAGTATAGGTTTAAATTCTGGTAAAGGGATAGTCATGACCTATGGTAAAATTTATACAAATGACCTTTATCTTCAGGTAACTGTGACAAGCACAGACTCAGAACTTTGGAGAAATTAAGTGCTCAAATAGATTAACCTCTCAGTTACAAGATGGTCATGCAGATGAAAGTGATTTTGCTTGTACACATTCATTCAGGTACTACAATTGATCAAAGATTTTATACTTGGGCTTGTGTCAGTGTTCAACTGTGTTGCGGGACAAGGGTGCACAAGTGAAGGAAATTGTTGATGCTTGGGTTTATCTAAATGTTCCAGGTTAAAATGATTTCTGTGCAATCAGGGTGTGGTTTCCAGCTCTGGAACACAACTATGCCAATTAACTAAATTCTGAAATTTGAATTTAATTTTATAACTGTAGACAGAGAAGGCAAAAGAAAAAAACTTTAAAAAATAACATTCTATTAAATGTAAGAAAAACATGGGCCTATAATTCTTTATTTGAAGATTCTAGAGATAAATGTAAAAAGATTCATAACGTATATTTAAACTACAGTTAATGACGCCCTATTCCTCCAAAAAAATGTTTGAATATTCAGGCTAAGTGGGATTTTTGTTTAAATGATGTAAAATGTCTTAAGTGAGTTCGGGTAACTTTTGTGTCAAAATCACTTTATAGTATATTTTATTTCCTATTAAAGAAACCATAGTAAATCTCAGAAATTGATAAAAGGGATTATATACACATATAGTCTACACCAAACATGCCTCAAGGAAAAACAGTTATAAACCACTACATCATTTCTCTCAAAACATTACTACAAGCCATAATAATGTCCTAGTGCAGACTGGATAAAATCACACAACTCTTTTATGCAGATGGAGCATTAGGAGATTATTCTCATACTCCGCAGAAAATCAAATGCCTGGAAAAAAATCCTCAGACAGGCCACATGAATTTTTTTCTTTATTTTTAAGCCTTCAAATCATTTATCTTATTTGCAACTAAATCAATGATTTCTCATTAAACAGATTTACCACAGTGCTCTTCGTCTGAGTTATCTCCACAGTCGTCAACGCCATTGCATGTTTTCTCTGATTGCAGGCATATTCTATTATTTCTGCATCTGTGTGGTCTTGTGGGTGGGCAGAGGAATTTGACTGGAAAACAGAGGAAATCCAAAGAAACTCTTTTGGATTCACTGACTTAGTAAGAACCTACTTTGTCTTTCTTTTAAAATCCATAATCTAGGATTGTTAATTATATTTTATTGTTAGTTTTCTTATTTTATCATGAATACTTTGTTGTAATTTGTATAATTTGTATAATAGAAGCTTATGACTCAAGTAATTGAAGAATAGTTCACAATTTACAGTCTTGAAGAAAGCAATCTAAACTCCATAGTCTTTCTTTCAATTGCCTTGTATTACTTCACTCAGTCACCATAATAATTTAGGATTGCACATTAATTATAATGTATATAACAAGTCACCCAGTTATTCACACAGTATAGACCTGGAATACATATATTCCACAGCATCCAATTCAATGTGACCATGCTTTAAAAAAACAAAAATATCATAACAATATTGTGTTTGGTGTGCTTACTCACTAGAAATATTCACTAGAAATTTTTATCCTTTTTATCACTGTTTAATCTGAAGACTTCTCACCTTAAAGCAGGAATTATCTATCATCAACCACTCTTCACCCACATATGTAGAATTCTCCAGGGCTCTGTTCTTGGTGACTAAATCTCACTCTTAAATGCTTTGTTTGCTTAGTTATTCTCATCCAACCTCACAAATTTGCATGTTGCTATATCCTGACGGTTTGCAATTTTTTATCCAGTTCTCGCATTTCAAAGTTGATTATAGAACATACCCTAAAGGATTTCAGACTCAACAAGCTCACCATTTAATTCTTTATTTTTGTTTTCCTGATCCCTTTCTCCAAAAACATCAGCTTTACCTTATTCATGTACTTTAATTAGTGGTATATCATATATTGCTGTCATTGACTTTCAACTCTAAGTAAACTTCTATATTTTTGTGATTGTCCCCAAACTTGTTTTCTTCTGTTCATCACTAACAGTTACTATCCCAATAGTAAAGCTGTTTGTAAGAGAGAGACATAATAAATGTCCTCAGTTTCCATAATCAAATGCTCAAAAGGCCATAAGAACAATCAAGCTAACACATTAATCTTATCATTTCTTCCATAGTTATCCACTACCACCTCGTGTGATTTAAGACACAGCATAAGCCTAGTGACCTGTCCACACCACACCTATAGATTCATCCCCTGTCTCTTTTAATATTCTAGCAACATACTGTATTACAGTTCCTTACATATACTCCCTACACTCCATGCCTGAGTTCTTTGTTTCATCTGAATTCTTGTCTCTTGTCCATGCATATTCCTCTCATGGGATCTTTTAAGAATGTCTCTTAATGTCTTTTTTAAAATATTGTTTTTTTTCATTTTATGAAAAATAAATTTTTATAACAAAACAAAAGAATAACATTTTATTACATGTGTATCAGTATCTAAAAAGTAGTACAAAACATACACCAAATAAATTCTTATAAAAACCAGATAGTAACATAAACTCTGCCATGAACTAAGAAAAACTATTACTATAAATGAAACAAACCGCATATATTGAAATATTTTTTCTTTTTTCTTTCTTTTTTTTGTACTGGAGATTGAACTCATGACTTTGTGTTTACCAGGCAAGCACTTGAGCCACTGAGCTAAATTCACAGCCCTACACTCAAATATTTTAAGACAGGATTTGAACTCCTAAATTCATGTTTATCTCTCTTCTATTTGTAGTTAGATGGATGTTACATGATAGATAGATAGGTAGATAGATAGATAGATAGATAGATAGATAGATAGATAGTTTCTTAATTTCTTAAACACATGCTTTTTAAGGCATCCTAATTTCCTACCATGTGTTCCAGAAATTTCATGCCACATTTTCAAATTTTTTAAAGTAAATACTATGAATTTGAAATCCAAACTTTTAATCATGTTCCTGTTACTACAATTTTCTCATCAGCCTTATAAATATCACCCCCTTCTTAATTCAATCACAACAATTTCATATCTCCGCCCCTATCCTTTTAAATTCACTCCAACTTCCTAGATGATGTGGACAGTCATATAAACAAAACAACCCATAACTGGGCTTCATTACTTCTTTTATTTCTAATGAGCAATTTGCTTTTAGTGTTAGCTACCTAGGCTTCCAGTCTCCTGACAAGGTTGTAGACACTAGTAGATTTCAGTAGACATCTTTTCTTGATCCATCCAGCAACAGAATCTTCTTCTTGCAAATAAGAACAGTGCCTCTTGGGTTTTGCTGTTTCTCTTAATGACTTCATATACAAAACCCTTAGTCTGAATGCCCCAACTCCTGACCACAATCCCCTATCCGTCAAGTTTTTGAAATTTAGCCAAACTCATTAAAATACTTTTCCAGTTTCATTTTAAACTATAAGTCTATAATAAGTGTACATTTTTCCCTATTCACCAATATCTATTTTGGTCTTACTTTTCTCTTTTCATATTTATTGGAAACTGGGCCTTTTTGCACAATTAAAGTTATGCTTCTAGAAACTCACTTTCTTCCCTGATTTTCTGGACCTTTTCTTTTGCATCATAGAGATCTAACAAAACTGCAAACATAAGTAAACAAAATCGTCTGTTTCCCCAAAGTCTGCATATAGAAAGCATGAGAACGTTGCACATGTTTGTACTACAAAGCCAGCTGGCATTGCCCTGTGTAGGTCAGTATCAGTGCTTCTTGGGAAGATTGCCTGTCTCTATTGTTACGCCATTCTATCTCTTTCACAATAATGATTCAAATCTGCCTTCCTTTCAAACCTCCATATATCAAATTTCTACCTTTTACATTTCCTTTTGATTGCACACAAACAAAAGCAATACAAAGAATAGGAAATTCTGAAACATCTGATTAAATAATTACAGCTCTCTGAATCTATACACGGTCTGTCAACTAATTCCAATACTTTAAATACCTGACAAAGGAGAGTAATTTATTATTTAAAATTATTTTTCTCCCGTTCTATGTATAATTTTCTCTTCTTTCTTGAATATGTTATTACCTTTGTGTTCATTTTTGTGTTCGTTTTAATTTTCATTTTAGCTAAACTTTGGCAAATTATTCACAGTCTCTGGCAGTTCAAATTCTTTCAGATATTTAATGTCACTCAATAATCCTCTCTAAAGATCCTCTTCTCCTTTTTTACATAGTTCCACTCAGAACAATCTTTAAAAATTCCATAGTATTTATTACTTCACTCATTCTGATTGTTATATTTATATCCCTAGATGAACTCTTTCTATTCAGATGAAAAACCAAAGCTCAAATGTCTGCTTGAAGTCTCTATTTGAATGTCTCTTCCAATTCATCCCAAAAGTCTACTAATCTTTACACACAAAACTGTTCCTCTTCCTAAATTCTTCTTTTCAAATATACATGCAAAAAATACCCTTCAAATTGAACTTATGATGTTCTCTCTCATCCCCATACCAAACCTACTAGTTAATAAAATGTATTTCATTCAACATATAAATTCTCTACATTTTACTATCATATACAGCTTTGTAATCTAAGCTACTAACCTAGGCTATTGTTGGTATAGATAGGATAGTGTTAACTGGATTTTTCCTCTTTTTAGTTAATATTTATAAAATAAAACTGTACGTCTCCTCTGATTTATTGAATGAGACATTGATTTGGACCAGGTATACCTCCTGAGATTAGTTCTTGACCTCTCGTAGATACTGTAACCTGTAAATTCTCAAGCCTATTATATAAATAAAATTTACATATAATGTACCCTTGATTTAAGTCATTTATAAATTATGTATAATACAGCATTATATGTAATAATTATCAAACATTTGCCACACTTTATCATTTAATAAATAATGACAAAAGTCTGTTGAATACAGACAATTGCAAAAAAATTTTTTTTTTTTTTGATAAGTGGTTGGTTGAGTTAGCAGATGTAGAACCCAGGAACATGCAGAACTGATTCTTTTCAAATGCTTTCAGAGTAAATAAAAATGCCTATGAAGACTACAAATTTCTAGGTACGGTGCTTCCACTGTCTCTGTAGTTTCATGCTAACAGTGATGGCAAAATTTAGAGACTGAATGCACAAACTGCAAACCAGAACCCAATTACTTACCTCAGAGTGCCAACACTGCCCCTATGGGTACTGGTATCTGATGCTCAACTATAGTGGTGAGTTGGCTTGGCTACCTTCAGGGCTCTATGTGCTTCCTGCAGCATGCACCATAGGTTTACCTCCAGTGTGCCAAAGTAATATCTAGCCTGATTTCTCGTCTTTGTGAACATCCATCTTCCATTAAGCCACAGTTTTCTCTTACTGAAGTCTTTATGCACAGAATTCCTTTGTTTATAAAACTGCATCATGCCCCCATCCCTTTAACCTACTTGCCAGAAATGTATCATTAGAATTAAATTCAAATACTGTTTCTTACACTTCGAAATTGAACAAACTTCTTTGTCCCATACTTATATAAATTATGATACATTTTCTCTTTCATCATTACATAACCCAACATCTAATCACACTCTAACTTAAATATTTATTGAATGAATGACATATTTTCTGCTCCTTTTGACTTTGTCTAGGATGTTTTTTAGTCTAGATCTCACAGCGCTATAGCTTTCTGAATTCATTCATAGGCAGAGTTCATCTTGTCCTTCCTTTCCTTGTCTATCTCTTTTGCTAAATTTTATGATTCCTTGCAATAAAATTTGTGGACATTATCATTATTTATCTAAACAGAATAAATATCCTTTCAAGAAAGAGGCCTGTGATAGTCAATATATATTCATGCCTTTCTTTAATTCTCCTGGAATGATACTTATTCAAATGTGAATCTTTCTTAAATAAAAGTTAAAACTTCCTTTCTTTTTGAGTTTGGATTAAAAGAATGAGAAGAGGGACTAATAACACAAATTAATCTTTTTAATATTCTCAAACTATACATTTTATTGCTTACATATATATATCTAACACGATCCAGGCAACAGCAAGTTGATTTGGAGAAACAATTTTTTAATGTTTCCAGTTTACTGTTAAATAATTTCTATTATAATTAACATTTTGATTTATATTTATATATATTATGTATTATACATATAATTTTGTATGTGTAACTTCAGTACCAAGAATAGTGGTGACCCTTGGTCTTATGTGATTATGTGGTCTTATTTTTCACATTTTTTCTATTTACTTATCTGCTAAATTTATTTTTATTCTAAAACAAAAATTTTTGGTGAAGCCAGAATTCCTATTTGTGTCTTACTCAGTTCAAAAGGTCAACAACTGTAAATCCTTCCAGACAGAACATAATCTATCTTAGGATAGTGTTGACATGTGCAAACTTAGATTTAGGAGTGCTTTCTGTGAAGTCATGAACTTTGAGCAGAGTAAGATCTTCATTACCTGGACAAAAGCTGTATGTATGGTCATACTTTAGCTACATGACCGCAGGGCAAGAGAGTTTGTGGTTCACCTCCCTACTTCATTGATTGAGTCCAGTGCCCTAGATCAGGAGATGAGAGTATAATTGAAAGCCACAGAAATACTATACCACACATATCTGGGGCTTCATCTGAGTTGTCCCCGCAGTCATCCTGTCCATCACAGACCCAGAAGTATAGTTTGCACAGGGAATTATTGCAGAGAAACTCGTCAGCTCTACATATATTTCCTCCTTTATTGTAAAGCAAAAAAGAGTGCATTAGTTGTAAACACAACAGAACATACATCCTTCCAATTATATATTGTTTCCTTATGTTTGTTTCTAGCATAATACTTATAGCACACAATGTACAAAAAAATTAACAAGTGTTCATGGCTTATAATTCACAATATTATATAATATTTTATTTAGGAATATTAAATATGGTAGAGGATGAATTTTAATTATGTCCAATGCTATACATGTTGATATTACTGAGCATAACAAATTATATGGTTAAAAATATACATTTTTGAAATAAAATTTTATGACTCTCGATAGAAGACACTTAGAATCAGTAGTATTTAGCTGTACCTAAAATACTGATATACTGGCTCAATTAAAACTAGCATAACAGGTAAAATGTATTTGTAGTCACACAGAAAAATTCAGTTTTTAAAAACAACAGAAATTTTAATTTATCATGTACTATTCTAATTTTTTTACTATGAAAATAGACATTTTTGCATTAAAATTTTACATTTTTATATCAATAAACAAAAGGCATTTATAATACAAAAATATTATAAATTTGTCCAGTATACTTACTATACATACTGGGCTCAAAAAAATTTCATTTGGAGTTTATATATGGACAGAGAGCAGTATTGATAGAGACTTCAATAAGACTTTAGGCTCTTGTACTTTAGACAAACACATTAATTTATTTTTATTTATTTTGTCTTTTTCCTTTTTATCAGTACCGGGGCTCAAACTCACGACTGCCTGTTTACAAGGCAGGCACTTATGCTGCTGAGCTAAATCTCTAGCCCAAACACATTAATTTATCTGTAACCCAATACCTTCCTATGCTAACAAAAGAAATAATAATAATAATATAATTTATAATGAGGTATTTGTAACAAGTACATGGGAAATAATACAAGACAGGACTTTAGAATTAAGACAATTTTCACTATACTACTTAACCCCACAGATAAAACATATGAACTACCTGAGTTGGTTAAAAAATGAGTATATGCATTGGAATGTGGGACTGAAGGAAAAAAAGAGGTCAAACCTACAATCTTACAGAAGCTATTATTCATCTTATGGACGGAGTCTGAAGAAAATAATTGTAGTTCAGTTGTGGACATGACATAAATTTCCTTGCTCTGAATTTTAATTTATCATGTAAATGTGTAATTCAGTTGTAGTGGCAAAAGTTTGGGAGTAAGTGTTGCCTTAATTGAAAATCAAAGTCCATAGACTATAAATCAGAGTCATATTTTTCAGGACAAATTTTATAATGACTAAAGCATATTACATTTTATAATGGATTTAAATCAAACAGAATTTGCAAACGCTTGACATCCTGTGATTATTTTGGTAAGTTCTATTTGTAGCACATAAGTCATGCTAAAAGAAAAACAATGAGTTCCCTGAGGGATTGCATTTGATAATATTATAATTTTCCTTATAAGAGTTTTGAACATTTTACTCAGAAATATAAATTAAATCATAACTGTAAAGGCATGCAAACATTTTTGTGGTAACCTACTAATGATTTTATGTTGTACTATAAAGAGTTAGCATTTCAAAAAATGCATCATAGTGTTATTGTGGCATTCTGTGTCTAACTTAAAATGCTTAATTCTAAAAAAGTGTGAAGCACACAACAAAAGTTATGATTCAAAGAGATTGACTGGATTCATTCCAGTTTTCTAGTTATAAAAGTATAGATTAATTAACAATGGCATGTTTACATTATAGCTGAGCCTTTGGCAGTTCATAGAAATCTTTTCAAATACTTCACAGAAAATAAACATCTAGAGTTCTCTTAATTTGTCTTGAGGAAAACTTTAATTTATGATAATATTTTATAATTAGCATACATAGTTTACTTTAGAACTGATGACTACTAAACAGAATAATTCCAAGTCTGTTTCTCCACAATGTTCATATACAATAGGATAAAATATGAAACGTTAGGACAAAATTAGCACTGAGGTTCTCTGTAGTTGTATTTTCCCTTCAAAAATCTTGATGCTGCTTTAATTTCAAACTCCTTGGGGTTTTAGTGCTACACAGCAAACAAGTAAAATTGATTTACTGGAAAAACATGTCATGCCTATCCTGCAGCTCTTTCAAGTTTCAGGTCCAAGTATTAGCTCAAGTGAGTAGAAGTGATTTTTACAGAAGTGATGTTTCCTGGCATTCTATTTCCCCAATGCCTCGAAAGACTTATCCAATACATAAACCGTTCCATAAGAGTAAATTAAACCCTGAAAATACAAACTTTGTCAAATTTAAGGTACACCTAAACAGGACTAAATATTTTACCCAAGATATTTCATTAAAACATAACTACTTAGCAGCAAAGAAATCCTAGGCAAGTTAGTGGTGTGGTGGAGAAAAGAGGGCTCGGATATTTTTTGAGAGATAGAATTAAAGGGTGTGAGCTCTCTATTTTTAGTCAGTAATATTAAACATTAAGCAGAAACCTTTCAGATTTTAAAGACAGTTCACACTTTCCAGTTTTGTCAAGATGAAATATGTTAAAAAAGTAATGAAATATAAAGCTGAGAAGGTGTAAATGGAATCATTCGCTTGTGACTATACCATTCAGGATGATTGAGGTCTATGTAACCAACAACATTTCAGTAAGGATCAGCACAATCACTTACACATAAATGGAAACAGTTAATATGTATTGGAGACTAAGTAATTTGTATTACAGGAGCCCAGAAAAACAGAATGTAAAAATAACCTAGACCCATTGCGTGAACTGAAGTTGCAGGTGGAGGTTACTAGTTGAATTTCATCCTAATGTCCTTTGACAGGAAAGTGTAGATGTTTCATTGCTGCTAGACTGTCTGACATATTTATTGTCTCTGGATTGATAAAACTCAAAAATTGAGTAGAAGTTAGAAACAGTCACTCTTTAATGCACTTCAGATTTTCAAAGGAAAGTTTCTTCTAAAAATAATACTTGATCAGATTTGAAATGTTATGTAATAATAACTACTTGATTTAATGGTTAAAAAAGAGAAGGTATTTCCTTGAGTGCCTGCATATTTGTAGAAAAATTATTTAGAAATATTAAGCTATAAAATCTTTGAGTGCATTTTACATGCCTTGCATGGTGTGGCAGTTTCTACTATCATTGATGTTGATCCTGTTTCAGGTACTCTGACCTGGACAATCTATTAAGAGATTTTGATAACCAAATCACAAGAAATTTTATATTTCAATAATACATTTAATAATATAAATAAGATTTGTGTACATTTTGATCACTTTAAGTTTCAGCACAAATTATTTTTGCTTACAGTAAGGTCTATTAAATTAGTGACAATTGCTGTTTTTTTAACCAATTAATTTACTACTAATAAAATGTTATCGGTCATAGAATAAAATTCACATACCTAGAAAACAATATATGATAAAGTTGAATGTTGTCTTTTACATAGACAAAGGATATAGCTAATTTTCTCAGCAATATGGAAATTTGGGATATAAACTACTTACTTACTTATCACACCGCATATGGATTTGTACACTCTAATACACCATATGTTCTCACTGTTCTTCCAGAGTAAAACAAGCAATGTGGAAGAGAAATGTACACAGAATACAGAAAATAGTTTCATAATAGTATGTTCTCTATTCTTCATGAATTCTCATCACTGACACCAAACCAAGCCTGAAGACATACTGCTTCTCTGTACTTAGAAACTATTGAATTTGACTTCTGTTTGTTTTGCAACCAATTAAAAGTGTCAGCATATAATTGACCTTATATGAAAGGATCTGGTTTTTGCTCATTTGGAACATGTGGTAATGCAGCTGGAAAGTATAAAAGAATCATTTAATGATTTCATTCTCAACTTCTAGCACACACAATACACTCTGCACATCTTTTTTTATTATTATTATTATGGATACAGACAAAATAATACCTTACCTCTGTCACAGATCTCTTCATCACTTCCATCCATGCAGTCATGAATTCCATCACATAGCCATCGCACTGGAATACAGTGGGCTTTATTTTTGCATCGAAACTGATTTTCCTTACATTCAGTCACACAACCCATCTGTTCAAACACAATAGGGCACAGCAGTTTTCACGAATGATAATGTTATAATCACAGGAAAAAAATGCAGCTTGTAGTACTGGAGATTCACAATAGGGTAAGAGTCCTTTCGTTTTGACTTAATGAAAATAACATCCATGAATAACAATGGGCTTTTGTAAAGACACAGCATGAAAATTTAGGTGTCTGTTGAAATGACTATTTAGAATCTATGACTACCATTTAAAACAGTGTTCAGAGTCAAGTTTCTATTTCTGCTTTATTAGATTTGCTTTCCCAATCCTCATTCATGTAATTCAAAGATTTTAATCAAATGATAGACTTTACCTCATCTGAACCATCAGCACAATCATATTCTCCATTACATTTCAAAGATGCTGAAATACATCCTCCGCTGGTACATATGTATTCACTTGATGAGCAACTGGGAGAAGCTGAATACAATTATGAAGTTGATATTTAGATATAATAAAATAAATGAGAGATATGGAAGATAAAACGTATATATGTGCATCAAAATATAAATTCATGTAGAGGAATAAATATAATTTACATTGTTTAAACTATATGCAAGATCTGAGATTAAAGATCCATTTAAAATGTGATTTTCTATTATTGTTGCATTATACTGGATGTATGTCAATGAAATAATAACCTGTACAGGAAGAATTTAACTCAGACTGAAAGAAGAGAGAGACCACAGTGTCTTATATCACTTTCATTTTAAAATGTTAAATAGTTTTGCACAATTTTATGGTAATTAAAAAAGATAAGGCTAAACATTTTTCAAAGAAATGAAAATATTAAGTAATCTTTGGGAATATGAATTCATACATGAGGTTTATAAAATAAAGAGTGAAAATCTTGGCATAGTGTCTCTTTGCCTTGGGTGACACAAATGTAGTATTTAAGAAGCTTTAAGGGGCTGGGGATTTAGCTCAGCGGCATAAGCACCTGCCTTGCAAGCAGGCGGTCATGAGTTTGATCCCTGGTACCGATAAAAACGAAAAAGACAAAAAAAAAAAAAAAAAAAAAAAAAAAAAAAAACCAACAACAAAAAAAAACCACAAAGAAGCTTTAAGAAGTTTGTTGTCTTGAGGTACTAAACATGAATGTATGTAGTCAGTAGCCCTATATAATTTGCAGCATTCCTTTATGATACAGAAATTTAAAACAACAAGTAGATATAAATTGTTAATACTACATAGCTTAATTAATACAAATATTATGACAATCACTTTGCTGGTTTGGAATTTCTATGTTTGTATTAAAACCTTAAGGTTTCTGGGCCAGTATTGCACCACTCATGATCCAGTGTCCTTACTAGTGACTGTGGTATGATTGTTTAGTTTAGGAATGGTAAATGTTTCCCATTGAATTTTATTTCTTTTTAATTAGCAGTTTTTGTCTAGTGAATAAAAAGCAAAGAGCAAATCTGGATTCAATATGAGAAAGATGTGATCATTCAGCAATGCAGAGTAATGATTTAGTACATAGCATGCAACTGTATCTGCTCCTCTGATCTCATCTCTTAATATGTATTTTCAATGATATATATTGTTAATATCATGATTCCTTTCAAAAGATAATGTAATTGAAATATCTAATTAAAAATCAAATGCTTTAGTTGGCAAATTTATAGAACCACATTTAACAAAGATAAATGCACAAAATAAAGTTTTCTGTGCTTTGATTTTGTTTCCTAAATTTATTTTGAATTTATCTCAAGGTGCAAATACAAATAATACACTTTTACTTTTAATATATTACCATAACAAGCATACCATATGTTTTCATAATTTTGAATGTAACTGAAAACTAAAAAATTTTATCGTATAGTTTTAACATATTTCATATTGATATTTGGAAAAATAATTCCAAATTGTGTGAGATGATAAAAAAACATTCAAAATTTGGGTAAATTAAACTTGGATTCTATATGGTGAGACACTTTTAAAACATAAATAGGGCACATCAATTAATTTACCTATATATATTACAGAACATTTCTTAAAACCATGAAAAATCAAAATTTAGGTGAATAAAGCTTGGATTCTTTCTGTAAATAATGATCTCACCTTTTAAAAGGTTTCTAAAACATATAAAAGACACATCAATTAATTTATTTGTATTTCAGATTATTTCTTTACTATAATACATAAAGGGATATTTTTGACACTATATTTTACGTACTTTGTCTAAATTTAAATTCTATCGTTAGAATATTAAGTGAATTAAATTTTCCCTTAAGCATTTTACCTGGCTCACAATTTTTCTCATCTTCACCATATTTACAGTCTTCATGACCATCACATTTCCATTTTGCTGATATACACTGACCATTGGAGCACTGAAACTGATCTTTGGAACAACTTACTTCACAATGTCTCTGTGAAATGCAATAGAGATATAATTAAAATTATTTTAGAAAAAATTTACTTTCCCAAAAGACAACTGGAAAACTGATGCATAGAAATTCATGACAAGTAGAAGCCACATGTACCAAAGTGGCTCAGATGGTCCTGTTTTCAGCCTGTGACTTTATAATTACACTGATTTCCTACTTTCATTTGTCTCTGGAGGTCATCATAAAACAGAGAAGTGGAAGAAGAATAAATAACACGAATTTATTATGCTAATTAAATTGCTGTGAGTGGGCCATTCTTCAGAAAGCCGTGAAGTGGTGCAATTTCCATAATTGTAGTTGATAAAGAAGATTGTGGAGAAACAAAATATTTCAAGTTCATTGTTAAGCAAGTTTATCCTGTGCACCGAGGCTTACAATGGAATCTGAAACAGCATCCTAAAACAAATCCACTAGAGTTCCATTATCTTCACACTTCCTCTGCATAGATTCTCTTACAAGTTTTAGTTGGTGTTTGTAATTTGCCACTCCTATTTGCTCCTAAAGAACTGTGAAACAAAGTGTCATAACTGTCATTTTGGCTAATCTGCATACTGAGTTTATCTGCAAGTCAAACAAGTTAGCAGATTGACTTTGGGGACCCTTTCAATTTTTTATGAAAGATAAATAAAAGAGATCCACTAGAAATTCAAAATATCCATCGCTACAATGGGATGCTCCAGTGAAATACCTTGCAATAATTTCTCTTCTAAAGCAACTTCTGCGTTTCTCAAATTGGACCTGATGGCTCTTCCCACAAAAGCTGCAGCACTCTCACAGATTACAGAAGTCTCAGGAAATGACGCCTGCTAAATTATTATTTGTTATATCTTCTCAGTCTAATTCTTATGTGCAAAATGAAAGTTTACTTCCTAAATCTTTGTAATTTCCTTTTTATCAATGGCAGAATAATTAGAAAGCTTGTTATATAATTGATTTTCTTCTCTTTTCCCAAGTATTGAAAGTTTACTACCTTCTAGGATCTTTCTTATATGATAATGTCTTGCTTCTTATATTTGAGAATCTCTTAGACAAACATGAAAGATCAACACCTAAATCACAATTGCAATAAAGCATGTTTATCTTGTTGCCAGACAAATAAACGTGGAACTTCAGCTAAAGTCCTTACAGAGGAGCTTTTACCAGAAATGGAGCTGTCTAAGAAGTAGTTTTTCATGTGTAAGAATAATTTAAAATTTATGGCACATATTTGAAGGCTAAGAGAAGTACCAGCGAAAGTTGTAAATAACACTAGAGACATAGGCATTACATTCATTGATCATAAGAAAGAGATTTCATGTGCTTTCTTTCCATTTGTGCTTCCCAAGCTCAAGTAGTTTCTGGGACATGGCAAACAAACTAAAAACTGCTAAATGAACTTAGTACCACATATACAAAACAGGAATATAAGCAATTCTTTATACTTTTGATTTAAACTTACTTTAAGTGATGTATGAAAAGTATCATTTAATGTTTGTATAGATACATACATACACTACATAAGGTTCAAATCAAGATACTTACCTAAAATATTTTGCTATTCTTTATTGTGAAAAGTTTCAAATAATTTATTTTAGCTTTTTCAGCTGTACAGCTAATTGTTGTTATAGGTACCCTACTATACTATATTACACCAAAACTATAGTATGTAGCTATAACAAGGATCCACCTTTCCCTAGGTCTCCCTCTCCCAGACTCTCCCCTACCTCTAGACTGCCGTTGTACTCTCAACTTCCATAAGGTCAGTGTGCTTAGATTTCACATGTGTACTGGATCACACAGTATTTGTGTTTCTGTGACTGGCTTATGTCACTTGATATAATGATCAACCTTTGCATCAACATTTATGAAAATGATAGATTTTAACTCTTTTATACAACTAAATAGTAGTCTATTGTGAATATGTGACAGTTTCTTTATCCATTATTTCATAGACATTTCAGTTGTTTCCATTTCTTGGCATTTGCAAATAATATTTCAAAGAGCATGAAAGCAGATGTCTCTTAAGAATTAAGAATACTTAATTTCTTTAAATGTACAAATACTAATATGATTGCTGAATCATATGATAGTCCTATTTTTAATTTTATGAGGAGTCTGAATTCTGTTTTCCATAATAGTTGTACTAATACACACTCCAATAAGCATCATACAAGGAATCATCTTTGTTCTGCATCCTTTACATCACTTGATATATTTACACTTTGACAACAGCCATTTATAAGTGAGGTAATAGGGTATCTCACTGACTTTAATTTGCATTTTCTGATGGTTAACAATACTCAGCATTTTTCCTATGCCTGATGAGCATCTGATGTCTTCTTCTGAGAAATGTTTATTTTGATCTAAACTATATTTATTGTTAAATTAGTTTAATTTTTGTTTTTGAGTGTTTGGAGTTACTTATATACATTTGGTATTATCTTCTGATCAGATAGATAATTTCAAGTGCTTTCTCTTGTCTTGTTGATTTTCTTTTCACTCTATTGATTATTTCTTTTGTTATGCAGAAGTCTTTTGGTTTGATAATCACATTTGCCAATTTCTGCATTTTTTCATCATACTGAGGTCTTGTACAAAACAGACTATATGACTTCTGTGTTCTATGGAGCTCAGCAGCACAGCAAATGCCCAATTCTAAGTACAAGTTTCTGAGTTTGATTAATGTTACGGAAAATAAAAAAAATAAACAATTAAAAATAAGTAAATATATAACATCATTATTCTTCTCTGTCCTGAAACATTAGTCCTCTGTTTCATTCTAGTACTTCAGGTTTTAAGTTAAGACTTTAATCTATTTTGAATACACAGAGATCTAGTTTCATTCTCTTGCATGTGAACATAAAATTTTACCAAAATGAAGAATATTCGTTTTTCTGAAGAATGTTCTTAGCAGCTTTCTGAAGAATAACATGGCTGCACTTGTGTGGGTTTGCTATGTCTTTATGGTATACTCTGTTGCAATGGTACATATTTTTGTTTGTATGATAATATGATGTTATTTTGATTACTATAGCTTTGCAAGGTATTAAGAAGTCAAGTAATATAATCATTGTGGCTTTGTTCTATCTGCTCAAAATGGCTTTTAGATTTTTGGGGACATTTATGATTTCTTATAAATTTTACATTTTTAAGTGAAGCTATTAGCATTACCTTTGTAGAGATTGCAGTGAATCCGTGGAGTATTAAGGAGATATAATAACATTGATAGTCCCTATTCATGAAATCTACATTTTGTATCCTTTTCAAATTTTTTAATTAGTGCATTTTAGATATACATTGGTAAAATTTTTATTGGTGAATTTATATATATATATATATACAGATAAATGATAACATTCATCAAAGGAAATTTGTACCTGTACATGGTATATCTTATGTCTTTTTATTTTTTTTTTCCTTTTTCTCTTTTCCTCCCTTCACCCCTGTTATGGTTGTTTCATTGTGTCATCTTGAGAAGTTAGGAAGCTTAACTACATAATTCAGCAGTTCCACATTCTAGGGTGTAGGGGACATGCCCTAGGGTGAGTGCTTATGCTCTAGGATGTTGTAATGGTTGACTCCTTCTGTCACCTTTGGAAGTTTAGCTGTTTAACTAAGTGAATCAGTAGAGGGCCAGAGTAAACATCCTGAGCCTCTGCAAGAGGATGGCATGCACTATAAATAGTATATAGTGGAGGAAAAGAGGCTTGCTCTTCTTCCCTTTTTCTCTTGCTGCTTTTGTTGTTTTCTCTCAAAAAGGAACTAAGACAAACCCTTCCCCACCCTTACTTACAAAATCTTTGTTTCCAATTTTTCCTTCTTTTCTCTTCTTTTATTTTCTTTCCTTTCTCCCTCCTGCCTTCCTCATTCTCCTTCTCATTTAAAAATTATTCCCATTTCCAAATATTTATCATGCATTTTGGTTCTTATTTACCTTTTTGGTTTCTCACACCAGAGAAACAATGTGGTATTTAAACATATATGCCTGATTTGTGTGACTGTGATATGATGATTTTAATCTTTCTGGGTGATACAAACAAAAGAATAGCCAGATTGAACTGAATCTCTAGTATTAGTTTATTGAGAAATGTCCACACTGATTTCATAGTGGTTATACCAGTATACACTGCCACCACAGTTGAGAAGCATTCCTTTTTGCCTACAGTGATGCAAGTATTTGTTATTGGTTGAATTTTTGATAACAGCCATTTTTTCCTCGAGTTACATGGAATCTCAGCTTTATTTCAATTTGTATTTCTCAAATGACCAGGGATGCTGAACATTTTTCATACATTTATTTGACACTTTTACTTCTTCAACTGACAAGTATTTAGTCATTTCAGATGCCCATTTTTGGTCATTTATTTCCTCAGTTATTGTTTGTCATGAAAGTATCCTATTTCTCCATCAAATTTGAAGGATAGCTCTTTGAGATGCATCAGTATGAACTGGAGGCTGTTTGGGGCTTGATATGCTTTACTTCAAGTTTTCATAGACTTGAGTGTGTTGAGAAATTTGTTGTGATTTTGATGGACTTTTCCTTATAGATGATTTTTTCTCTAATAGCTTTTAATGTATTGTTCTTGTGGTGAGTTTCTGGAATATTGAATCTTATGTTCCTTGCTCTGTTTTTTTTATCATGGCTAAGTGAAGTATTACAAACCTTGCATTTTTAATCATAGCTAAGTGAAATATTATGTACCTCACTATCTGTATTTTGAATTCTTTTTTCTGTTTGGGAAGTTTTCTGTCACTACTTCTGTGAACAGGTTATTTATGTTCTTTGTACTATCTCTTGCTTTTTTTAATAACTCTGATCAATCTTATGTTACTTTTTTGTATCATTTAGCAGCTGTTGGATTGATTTTTCATAGTCCCTTGCTATTTCTGAGAAATCTTTCTTTTCATGATCTCTAACTACAATTCTGTGTTCTACATCTGATATTCTGTCCTTAAAGTGCCTCATTCTGCTGCAGACATTTTCAAGGGAATATATGTTCTCC